AAAAAAAAAAAAAAAAGGAGTAAATATGTTTAAATCACTCAATTTATCGATTTATTATTTTTTTTTCATGTACGGATTAATGAATGCTATTTATGCATCTAAAGCACAAAACAACAGGCTACTATTGCGATTTAATTAGTTTTTGTTTGTCTATCAGTTAGAAAATCGATAGGTGATGCAGTGGTCAGAGTTCACTATGATAATTGTCTGTCAACATGTACAGTAGACTGGATAAGAGAGATGAACTGTTGTGCTGTGCTGTTTTTTTATTTTCACATGTGCACAATAGGCTAATTCATTAAGCTCATACCTCCCATTAATATGTTTATATTTCTTCATCCACTAGTGTAATGTATATTATCCCTATATTTTATTAGATTATGTTATAGGCTATTTAAATTATATATTAACCTATTATATTATTGGCATGTAGGCTAATTATTAAATATTATATCCGAATAATATATAGCCTACTATAGGATAACAGTAAAGAAGATATAAACTAAATTAAAACGACAAAATCTTATATTATAAATAATATCGTAGGCTAAAATACTTTTTAAATCCGATTTAATGCGTTTTCAGTGCAGCAGGGCGTGAGGGGAAATGTGTGACGGCTTTTGTGGGACTGGTTGTCAAGGTGGCTGTTTTAGTTCAGTCCTGCGCTGAATGCAGTTATGCTCGCGCGAAAGAGTTTGTAGTCTGTATGAATACTATTTTTTAATTTCCCAATCATTTTGGGCTCTTTTGTTTTAACATATGCTATATATCGAAACCCGGCCCGAGGAATAACAGCACTTTTCGTCCGTGGCGCATTATTAGTCGGTCCATGATGGCTGTGGCTGATCAGTTTTTCAGCTGTTGAGCGTGAGCTTCGGTAAGATACAGCTTCACTATTAATAAATGCAAGGCCTTTGTCAAGTGATAATTCAATTCTCCGCTTGAATCCCTGTTGTGTGTGTGTGTGTGTGTGTGTGTATAATTGCTGCCAGAGCTTTAACTCCTCTCAAGGTGGCAGCTGCCTCGGGAATACAGGTCAACATGAGTAAACATCCAAAATTACGCAGTGTATAAAAGTTATTTTAGGATAATAGAAGATATAGAGAAGCATTTAGGGGCAAAAGATGGTTTTGTCGGGTGTGTTAAAATGTGATCATAGATTAGTGCTTTCAGTTTTGTCGGAGTAAAACATGATTTAGCTTATGCACCTTTCAAAGCAAGGCCGTCGCCGAGGGAACCGACGCGACGCATGAAGACACTCATATGAGACAACGTTTTCTTTTTTATTCTTTTTTATTTATTTGTTTTAAAATGAGCAAATTTAGAGCTTTTTAAATTAAGGGGAGACCGGGATATAGCCTAGCTAGTTGTCATGGCGAAGTTGTCACAAGAATTATCTCTGTTTTGAGTATAATTTACTATTTACTAGCAAAATGTTGGTTTTAAACGTTTCTAAAATTAAAATTATGTTTGTTAATTGTGTTCTCCAAATTACAGTTATAATATCATCATATTTTTTTTGTAATAGCAAAACATGTGAACATGAAACCGGTATTCCGAGTTGCAGTTTTTAACCGAGAGGCAGTTTTCTCAACAAAAGAGTATTTTTCATAAATGTTACATACGTGTTATACAATTGATTAAATTATATTTTACATTTTGCTGCTTGACAATTGTTTTACTATTGAGATTATTAAGTATCCATGTTCGTCAAACTGCTTAACGCCAGGTTCATTGTTGTTGTTGGCACGATTAAGATCAAAGTGTGTTTAATGAACTAAGCTTACTTTATTTACAGTAAGTTTTTTTTCGAACAAAAATGTTATGAATGTTCAGCGTATTTTTTAGTCAAGCAAGCTTAGTCAGAAATTGAATTTAAAATAAAAAAACTAGACCCTGACAAATATTCAGAGGGGTAAAAATATTGCCAACATTTTATTATTGTAATTTTTAATAAGGTCAATGCATTATTTTAAATATACTTAATTTACATTCATATGTAATTAAAATTCTATAGGATATGTTATAGGATATATATTTTTTCGGCTTACTGTGTGGAAACATATAACAGTGTATCAAAAAATAGCACTGTGGTTTTAGTTTTCTTCACATTTATCTCATTACTCAAGTATGAATACAATTAAACAGGCTTGATAAATATCATCCACAGTGTGAGGGATGTTGATGTTTTTTTCAGTACTAATATATTAAGATATGGGTATTTGAGTAATTTATCTTGCTTTTTTCTTAAAAACAAACAAAAACAGTAATGTTTTTTCTTACATCCAAATTACATGAAATCATTTGAGTGCAAAATCATGACGAATGTTAATAAATGGCATAACCTGCTTTCACATCTGAACTTACTATGTAGTTCTTTGATTGTTTATGACATTTTCTAATTTTGTATCAGTGTTTTATAGTATGTTTCAGTTGGATGGTCCACAACAGCAGCAGACTCACTTTCTGTGATGACTTGTTCTTGTGTGGTTAGGATAGACTCTTATAGCCCTCATTTCCTGTGAGTAATGTGATGGAGGAAGCTTGTGGTCTGTAGCGCTGTCACAGTGGAGCAGTGCCAGGCAGGTTCGGACACGTCAAGCCTGGCATCTTTATTCTGAATCTGTGCATCCAGCCTCAAAATCTGCGGGGACTCAAACTTCAGAAGATGCATTGGGCAGCAGGGTGGAAATTACTTTGAAATCGAATCTTGTGTGTGTGTTCAGTCTTTAAACAATGATGCATTTCAGAGAGAGTTATTTTATAGAGCATGAATACAGAGCAATTATAATGTTCCTCTTCTTCAGAATAAGTGTCTATTATAAAATTGCTGGGTCCATTAATGAATAACGATTATGATTAAAATGTAGAATCATTATGAATGAATGAATGATGCATTTATATAGGAGGATTAAGATTTATTTAATAAATAAAAACAAATTAATTAAAAAATAAATTAATACATTGAAAAGGTAAATTTCATTTATCTCTTTTTCATAGTATTCAGCTCAGTTTGATTAAAAAATAGACTCAAAATCAATTTTTAAAGGAATACTTCACCCTTAAATGAAGATTCTGTCATAATTTATTCACCCTCATGTTTCTTTCTTTTTAACTCAACTGTGACTTTTTTTTTTTGGGTGTGACACAAGATGTAAAGAAGTCCATGTGCTACACTGAAAAAAAAGATGGGAACCTAAAATGGTGACAGCTAAATTAACTGGTTTTATTCAAGTCAAAAATAGTATTTAATACAGCTGAATCAACCTAAATATTTAAATTTATTCCGCTAAAACTACTATTTTAATCATGACAACTCTCGGAAGATTTTAAGGCAGTAAGCTCATTGGCTGCATATGCAGCATGAACCAATCAGCTTGTGCCAAGTCATTTAACTCTCTGAATATCATCAGTTACGTTAACACCCCGTCAGCCTGCGCCATCTAGAGTTTCATGACTAAACTATATACGTATATATATGCATATATGGTATGATATGGTTAAATCAGGTAGAACTATCTATTTAACGTAACAATTGCAGGCTACCACTTTCTGCAGTAGTTACGCTTTATGGTTGTTGGTCTGCAGTTGCATGAATGTCAGTAATTGCAGCAGGTCATTTTTATGGTGGCCGAGAGAGCTGCATCTTACGAAAACACATACAAATATAAAAGGCACCAGCAAATTAAGAAAACATCTTCATCAGTTCGACAACACGTGTGCTGCAAATACTCACAACACAAACAAATACAGAAACACGCTGCAAATAGCACAGACGACAATGGAACCCTTATGAAAATTAACCATAGTTTTACTACAAATAAAACCAAAAAAACATGGTTACTATAGTTAAACCATTGTAATCACAAATTAACCATGGTTTTGCTACACTAACCACAGTTTAACCATGATATTTGTAGTAAAACTGTGGTTAAATGGTAGTAAAATATGCCAAAAAAAACATGGTTACTACACTTTTACTATAACAAAACCATGGTTAATTTTCATAAGGGAAATGTTTAAAGGGGACCCCAACAATGCTTACGAAAATGAACCACGATTTTATTATAGTCAAAGTGTAGTAACAATATGTATTTACCATCTGTATAACCACAGTTGTACAAATACCATGGTTAAACTGTTTGTGTAGCAAAACCATGGTTAATTTCTGGTTACCATGGTTTAACTATAATAACAATGTTTTCTTTCAATAGTACAACCATGGTTAATTTTTCTAAGGGAAGTTATAAAAGTAAGTTAGCAAGCTACATAACGCTTCATAGTTACAGTAATTGTGTATTTCGTCCGCTTATTTAGGCTAATGATGTCTAAATAAGCTAAGGAATCATATGATCAGGATGTTAAAACAAAGAAAAATCTCACCTTTCAGAGCAAACATTGATAAGCGTGTCCCAGCCAGATTCGTCACTTGTTGCGGTTCCCTTAAACATCTCCGATGTGGTCTGTGCATCTTTGCTGCTCTTTTCTGTATTTGGGTGTGTTTGCAGCGCGTTCCTGGTTTTGCAGCGTGTGTTGTCAAACTGATGAAGATGTTTTGTTAATTTGCAGGTGTTTTTTCATTTGCAGCGTGTTGAGCTCTCTCCTCCACCATACATTTTACTGTATTAAAGGTTGCTTTTGCTTTATGCGTGTACGTCTGGTAACCCTTGTTTGTTATGTGATTTTCAGTGTGATCTGCCCTGTGGTGGACTGTCCAACATCCAAGATGTCCCAGTCGTCCACCGCTGATGAGGGTACAACCTTTGAACACTTGTGGAGTACCCTGTGAGTTCATTTGCATGCATTTACATAATGCAGTTTATGTTGATATTAGTAACAATTTGCACAATTTCAGGATAAACTGCAGTTTTCTTTTTTTTTTCTTTTTATTTTGTGAAATACAGTTGTTACAAAAAATTCTGACACCGTACGGGAAAGCATTTACATGACCTTTTGATGTAAGCTGGAAGGCCTTGTATACATTTGTGATTCATGTACCTTCTCTCTGTGTTATTGCAGTGAGCCAGACAGCACATATTTTGAGCTTCCTCAGGCGGGACACTCAGGGGACAGGGTGCCTTCCAGCAGCCTGCCCAGCAACCGCGCTGAAGTCTGCATGGACGTCTACCACATGAGAGACATGAGAGACATCAACGACAATGTCATGGTAAGAAGAATCTGCATTCAGATTGACATAAAATCAACTAACCAAACAGTTTTTGGTCCCCACTGACTTCCGTAGTATTTCTTTCCATACTATGGGGTCAATGGGGCCCATCAAATGTTTTGCTATCCACATTTTTAAAATTATCTTCTTTTGTGGTCTACAGAAGAAAGAAACTCATACAGCTTTGGAACAACTTGAGGGTGAATAAATTATGACAGGATTTTTATTTTGGGGTCAACTATCCCTTTAATTCCATGTAATCTCTCAATTAAAATTAAATCTTAAAACTGAAGGTTTATTAATTATACAAGAATTACAAAAATAAAGTGAAGAAATTTAGTGAGAATATAGCAACGTCATGTCAACCTCCCATCCACAAAAAAACACCCTGTATACTGAACGGTGTTGGTTTTCCCTCCTTATCCATCAGGATTCCCTCCTCAGTCCCCAGTTTCCCTCTCCTGTGCTGTTTTTTCCCCTCCCTTCGGGCTCTGCAGCAGGCCGGGTGTGTGAGTGGAGGCTGTAGTGGGAGCTTGTGATGCCTTAATTAGAGAGAAAAGCCAAGCCCGGAACATGACACCTGCTCCTGCCTCCCATCTGGGGCAGACGTCCTGGGAAACAGAGAGCAGGAGACGGGATGGATAGATGGACACACAGAATCTCACAAGATCAAACTTCACCCCAAAATCAAAACAAATACATAAGAAATTATATTTTGCATTAAAAAGGAAGCCTATTTTTTGACCATTAGGATAATTATAAGACATTTAAGCAATGTCCCCCTATTCTCCTTATCGTAATGCATCTGAACATTTTTCTTTTTTGTAATTTCCAATATTTTAAATTGTGATTTTCATTTGATTCTTATTACTGTAATATAGTTTTTTTTGTTTTACTGAGTATATATATATATATATATATATATATATATATATATACTTTCAATTAATACA